GGTCAACCCGAAGCCACATATTCTCAAATTTGAAAGGGATTTGTCTACTACACCAGCCACCACAATCTAACTGCAACGGAACATGATCAGAAACAGGGCGAGCTAAAGTGGCCTGAACCACCTCAGAGAACTTCTCCTCCCAATCACTCGAAACTAGGAATCTGTCAAGTCGAGAGAGGGTAGGAGGAGAGCGACCACTAGACCAAGTAAAGGGCCCACCCACCAAAGGCAAATCAAACAAACAGAAACCATCAATGAACTCCGAGAAGGCCTCTATGTCGATCGTCCACCTACCACCTGTCGACCTTTCAAAAGGAGAACGAACGACATTGAAGTCCCCACCAATGCACCAAGGAAGCGACCATCTCCTTTGAACCTCCCCCAGCTCCTCCCAAAGCAAATGACGCTCACAATCTTTTGTAGGTCCATAAACACCCGAAAAAACCCAACGAAAACCATCCTCCAACAAAGAGAGAACACAAGAAACGGAGAAAAGCCCAACCTGAGAGTCCATCAAAGAGACCCACCAGTTATCCCACATAATAAGGATACCACCCGAAGAACCAATCGCATCCAAAGCAATCCATTCCACAAATCTTCCCCCCCACAAGCTTCGCACAACCAAGTTCGTCATTGAAGCAATTTTGGTTTCTTGAAGACACACAACATGCCCACCCCCTTTTCGAATCACCGACTTCACAACTTTCCTTCTAACCGGGTCATTGAGCCCCCGGACATTCCATGAAAGAATTCGTAGCTTCATAGGGAAACTTCTGAGTTGACTGCCTCACCCCTCCCACCCCTACCCCTCTCCCTCAACCCCTTATTCCTCCTCTCATAAATGACAAGAGTAGAGGGGCTCGGAGCATCCTTCTCAACAATCCCCACCGGGAGACTTCCCGAAGTCCCCCTATAACCCCTACTATCAACAATCTGAGAGTTAAGAACATCCAAAAACAAATTTGTCGCCTCCTCCAACCTACCTTCGAAAGAAACTCCCAAAAGGGAACCAATCTCAATTCCCTTTTCCCTCACCCACTCCTCCTCCAAAAAAGCCCCACCTGCCTCACAGCCAGCCCCCACCTCAAACTCTCCATTCGGTCGAACAATAGCCAAAGGGGCAACAAAATCACAATCAGTCTCCTCATCATTCCACTGACCCATCCCCAAATCCCCATAAAGAGAAGAACACGACCCATCCTCCCTATCCTTAAGAAACGAAGAAGGAGAGCAGCAGGCCAGAGGAGTCCCAAACACTTCTTCAGACCCAGTCGGCTCATTATGGAGACCTTTCAAGGCCAGATGAGCCCGCAACTCCTTAAGAAACATAGAAGCAGAAACATCATCAAGACAAATCTGAACATCTTTCCCAACACAAACAGTGACACGGTCACCCTTTCGAACCACAGACTTCGGATGACTCCTCCCATCCACCTGATTACACCCAAGAAAACCTTCCAATCCACATTCCAAGCCATCCTCAAAAACTGAGGAAAGGTTCCTGGAGATGGAAGAAACAGACCCCTTCAACTTCTCCAAGGACTTCCTCAACACTCCTGAAGAAGGAGAAGGGGGGACCAGAAGGGGGATCAAACTGTGAGAAGTTTTGCAATGGATCAGACTTACCCGGATCACAGTCAGCAGAGGGAACCCACTTTTGTTTCTCCTTCCGAGTCCACCTTCGTCAGAATGTAGGGAGAGAAATCCTCTTAGCTTTCAGACGATGCCCTTACGGTGGCTTCTTGACACGCCGTCCACCTTTGAGAAGAGGTGAAACCAACTGCTGTGATGATGGACCAACAACAGAAGAGAGAGGTCCAAAACGATTGGCCATCTCAAGTCCAGAACGTGGTAACTTAGGCCCAACCGGCTCAGAAAATGGCCCAACCAAAATCTCATGACCCAGCCTAGTAGAAAGACCAACCGAGCAATCAGCTTCTTTAAAATGGCCCGCCTTAACACTTCCACTACCACGCAACAATGGTTCAGGCATATTGCAAATAGTAGGCCCAGAATTGTGGTCCTTCACAGCCCTCACCCCATTCGCTGCCCAACAGATCGCCCATCAGCACTTGAGCCCAACTTAACATTACACGCCCACCGATTTGAATTCAACTTGGATACAGCTGTATTCCAATTTGAACGGATAACATTCCTGCGCCAACCAGGTGTTGGTTTGCCTTATCTCACCCTCCCACGCGTTGAAAGTGCGTGAAACCCACCTCGTTGAAAGTTCCTGCTCCAACTTTGCATCAACGCCTGATAGCCAAGACCTCCACCCCTCTGAAAATTCCAACCACCATCCGACGAACGAGAAGAGATTTCCTTCCTACGTTGAGTGAACAAACGTCTGAAGAACACTGTGTTTCGATCCCAAAGCTTATCCCTCCACTCCTTCCATCTCTAAAACTCATCCATCCCCTTATCTCCCAAGGAAACCCATCTCATCCACTCCACCTCCTTCAACAGGTGAGAGCCATCACCCCCTTGAAGACTATCCGTCGTCGGAACAAGTTGTGGAGGCAATTCCTCCCAAACAGCCACCTTAAAGCAAAGACAATCATCATGAACAAAAATGAAAGGCGGGCAAACACGGCCAACTGCCACCGTGAGACGAACTCTTTCAGTGTCAAGGGACTCATCGGCATCCACCCAAATGAAACCTCCACACAAATCACCCACCGTCGCAAAGAAAGCATGGCTCCAAAGGTGAAGAGGGAGGCCAAACAACATCACTCTCTTCAGCCCTTGCTCTTTCAACACCTCCGAACACCTCGCCCTAAAACTCCATGGATCTACTCGAAGGGTGGCCTTCCCCCAGTCACGTCGTCCCTCCTTAAACACTCTCTCTGCCTTCGCCAAATAAGGAAACCGGAAGAGGAACAAAGAGTCCGGCAGAGGCAACACAACCACAGCCGGCAATACCTTCCAAGCTCGTGAGGCCTAAGCTGCAATCTGGGCTCGATCACCAACTTCTTTGTCAAATTTCCCCACCAACTTAAGTTTTTTTTAAAATGTACCAACAGAATATGAAACATTTAATATTCAAAAATCATGTGAACGTGGGATAAATCACTGCAGCATAGCATGTAACACGCCCTCCCCCCACCCACACACACACACACACACACACAAACAATCTTTTTCAGATCAGATGAGCTATAAATTTTACAAAACAGAGCAAAACAAAAAGAAAACATAATCTAAAAACTACTTTGTTTTTCATTGTTCTTTAAAGATTCTCAAATGTTCCAATTTGCACATTCGAGCATATGGGGTAGATTTGTTGAGTGGGAGATCACTGATGTGGTAGGGCCCGCGCCGGGGGGGGGGGGGGGGGGGGGGATTGTATCGTGCTTTGGGAAAAGAGATGCGTTTTGAAGATTGATGTGTGGAAAGGAAAATCTTCTATCTCTCTTTTGTTTTCTTTGAAGGAGGATGGGTCTCATTGGGGTTTTTAAGGTTTCTTGGCCTGTGGGAGATGTGGAGAGGAGAGACTTGGAGGGGGAGTTGGAGGTTGCTAGGGGGAGATGGTCGGTGCCGTGGTGGATGGTGACTTTAATGTTGTCAGGGTTCTTTTTGAGAGATCCACGGGGAGTAGAAGGATGCCTGCAATGATGGAGTTCTCGGATTTCTTCGAAACTCATCGTCTCCTTGACCTTCCGATGGAGGGAGCTAGGTTCACATGGTCAAGTGGGCGCCAGTCCCCTACCTTGTCCCGATTAGATAGGTTCTTGACTTCTGGGAATTTGGAGAAGAAATTTCTTGATATGGTCTAGGTGGCTTTGGCTTGACCGGCCTCATATCATATTCCCATCCTTCTTGATTGTGGTGGTTTAAGGAGAGGAAGAACCCCATTCTGGTGGGTTCGAATTTGGTAGAATGGCTATGTGACCAGAGGAAGCCAAGCTTCCAGTTGGCAAGCAAGCTCTGGTTTTTGAAGGGGGGTATCAAGAAGTGGAATAAGTCTTCAGAAGCTTGGAATGGTGAAAAAACAGAATTCATATGGAATTATCGAAACTGGATCAAGAGGAGAGGGAAGGGGGTCTCTCTGATATGGAAGCTTGCAGGAGGGATGAATGCAAGGGCGAGTTCAAGGAAATAGCTAAGATGGAGGAGACATGGAGGAAGAAATCTAAAGCTCTTTGGTTGAAGGAAGGGGACCAAAACACGAAGTTCTTTCATCGGCTCACAAACTCTCACAGGCGAGGCAACCTCATTGGCAGGATTCGTATCAATGGGTGTCTATTAACTAGGGAGGAGGGCATTCAGAGGGGAATTGTTTCTTACTATCAGCAATTGTACTCTGAAACTGCTAGTTGGAGACACCTGCTAGGTGGGCTGGAGTTTGCGGGTATCTCAGAGGAGGATAGGGAGTGATTGAGAGGCCTTTAGGGGAAGAGGAGGTGGTTGAGATGATGCAAGCAAAATTCAATTCTCCTTTCTCTTGCTTTTTTTTGTTCTCTATTTCGTTTCAATATTGCTGTGAAGACGATTTAATCATATCCTCTTGGTAAGGCGGCATCATGAGAAGTTGTGTGGGGGAACTTGTAGATTTTGTTGATAGTTTGATACTATAGTCGGCCGTGTTTGGCTTTTTTGTTGTTTTCTTGGGAGAGATCCCCTCTTGAGTGCCTTTAAATGGAACTTTTCTTATCCCCCCCCCCCCCCCCCCACACACAAAAAAAAAAAAAAAAAACATATAATTAAACCATCAACCACGTCTTTTCTGAGCTGTATTGGGACCCACAAAATTGTAAATGAGATCCACCAATCCTTGCTCCCAAAACAGGAAAAGTGCAGATCATAATTAAGCTTGATGTTGGCATAATATGGTAATAGCAGTAAAATGACATTTCACAGCAACTTCCCAAGTTTTTTAAATTAGGATGTCAATTATCATCTTTTTCAAAATTCACACTTCAGTTAGCAAGAAACAATTATATTTTTACGTCTCACCCCAATGAATAAGCAAGAAACTTTGTGCAAAAAGATATTACCTATCAGCAACCTTTCCAATTTCACCACCAAGTGCATCCGCTTCATGTACCAGTTGTGACTTTGCAGGTCCACCCACTGCTGGATTGCAAGGCTGTATTAAACTGTTCTTAGTATAAAAAATATTCTCCATAACTATAACGCATCTTTGACACTAAATATATCTCCATTGACCAAAGAATCAGAGATAGAGTTGTAGTTCTAATGAGAGAAATGTTCTTAATATAATAAATAGAACTCAAATTATATTTAAAATTGGAAGCAAATATCATGTTCCTAAGGTGTAGCATATGGCAACTAAATACACGGATTGTGCTCGTTGTGGGACTTACCCAACACCTTATGGAAAGAGTTGATGACAACCGTGCACCACGTGTCCGCGTTGTATTGGGAATAAGGAAGAAAGAAAATGGGGATATAGGGAAAAGATCAGTGAAGGCCAAATAAATAAGAATCAAAACCATTATAAACTTTTTGTTTCGCGACCATCTAACAACTGCAACAGCTGCAAGGGATTATCAAGGAAGGGTTGGTTTGTAAAATTGTGGTTTGAAAGGCAAGCAAAGTGAGACCATAACTTAAATTGTTTTTTCCACTCATTTCAAAATATCCCATAACTTGCATTAGACAGTACATCAGATTTAAGTTTCTTGAATAATTTGGTTAGAGATCCAACAAAAAATAGTATATACACATCAAGTCAGTGACCCAGTGGAAAGAAAATAGTCCTCTTGGGATCCGAAGGAAGATGCCATTTCTAGGGTTTCAGCATGTGGAAGACAGGTCTTTCATCATGGAGGAGGGTAACACCTCCTCCCAGTTGCCGCAGGGAGCGTCTTTTGTCCCTACATGATCTCCCACACGTACCGCATGGCGGAGTCTTTGAGAATTCTACCAGACCATCATTTGTGAATCTTGAGTTTCGTGAAGGGCACAAAGATCTGGATAAGATTCAGATCGCGGATGAGGATGTGGTTGTCAATGTTGAGTACTGGAAGTACTCGATAATAGGTTATGTCATGGACAATAAGCAATTTTTCCAAGACACTTAAGAGTTTTATCATTGCAGATGGGGCACTGATCTGAAGGTAATGTCACTCAGAGATGGATTCTCTCTCTTTAGGTTTCAGTTCATGGAGGCTTTGGAGAAGGTTCTTCAGCATGTTCACACTTTTGAGGGAAGACCAATTATAATCAAGAAGTGGAACAAGAATGTCAATCTCTAGAGGGTCTTATTGGGATCGGTTCCTATTTGGATTAATTTATATGGGTTGCCAATGCATTGTAGCAATAAGAGGGTGGTACCTAAGGTCTGATCAGTTTTTTCTAGACTTTTGTTTCTTGATTGTTAGAACAGTTATATGTAAATAGGTATTTATGTTGGGGTCATATTGTAATTAGACATAGGGTTTGTGGCCATTATGTAAATAGGCCTTTCTCGTATTGTATATATATTTGTGTTATGTGTAAGGGTTTTGATATATATAAAGAAAAGGGGCTGCGCCTCTCTCTCTCTCAGCCATCTACTCTCTCATTCTACTATCTCTCTCTCTATAATCTATAAATTTAACATGGTATCAGAGCGTAGATCCGGCCATTGACATTGCTACCGCGGTGCTAGGGTGTGTACTAGCTCGTGAAGGGATCGCTGTTTGTCGTCGATCCGGCCACTCTTGGACGTTTTTTTTTTTTTTTTTTTTCTTTTTTTTTTCCTTCATCGACGACCATTCCTGGACTGTTGGCGAGGAGTTTGCAGTGTGAAGATCTCTCCGTTTGCTGACGCCAGTGTTTGTTGTGTGTAGTCGCCGTTGTGACTGATTTTGTGGTCGGTGGCTTCGTTTGGAACTCAATGTGGTTCGGTGCCGCAGCAGAGAGCTTTGCAGCAGCTTTGCTGTCTTCCCTTAGCCGTTAATTGATTTGTGGTTGGGGCTTCACCTTGTGGAGGTCTCGGATCCTTGTTTGTTTGTTGACGGCAGCAGATTGTGGTCCTCACTGGCGCTGATTGCGAAGAAGAAGGGTAGTGTTTGGTTGCAGGCATGAGGTTATCCCAGATCAGGTTAGGCTATCCAGATCCAGGTTCACTTAAACCGGTTTTATAGAGATCCGGTTCAGATCCGGTCTGTTTTTTATCCGGCCCGTTTTCAGATCCGGTCCGTTTTCAGATCCGGCCCGTTTTCATATCCGGGTCTGGTTCAACCCTTTTCCTAGATCCGGCTGTTTTTTTTTTTTTTCTGTTCCTCTCGGGACAGATTCGGCATCAGCGGCTTCAACTTGGGCCAGATAAGTATTTTTTTTTTTCAGTTTACATATAAATTTACAGCGGCTACTTCTATTGTTCATGGCATGGATTTGGATTCCTCAACTGTTTCTTCTGAGTCTACTGGAATTAAAACTCCTGCAACATATGATCATGTCGGGCTGCAAATTACAACTATGAAATTAAGTAATTCAAATTACTTACTATGGGCTCAAGCAGTGAAGACCTATTTAGGCGCCCGACGAAAGCTGAAGTTTATTACACAAGCTCCTCCACCTCAAACATCCACACCATCCACAACATATGATGATTGGGAAGCTGATAACTATATGGTTATGTCCTGGTTGTGGAACAGTATGGAACCTTCCATTGCATCCACTTTTATGTTTGTCACCACTGCAAAGAGAATATGGGATGCAGTTAAAGAAACCTACTCTATGGACACAAATGTCTCTCGCATATACTCCCTGTATGAGAAGATGTTCCATTCTCATCAATCTGACCCCTATGGTCAAGGCATCGGTGAGTATTACAGTACTTTCAAAAGCTTGCTAGATGGGCAAATCAGGTAGTGTCTTCTTCTGACATTGCTGGGTCTCATCCTTCTCCTGACCACCACCACCCACCTGCTCAAAACTCTGTACTGCCATCATCTGCACCTATTAGTGACAGTGTGATACTCTCACGAGCTAAGTTCAGTGCCTTGGTCAACCGGACGCATCCCCACTCTACTGATACGGTTAACTTTGCGCAATCAGGTAATATTGCCTGCTTGTCTGATTTACAGACTTCAACCTCCCCTTGGGTTATTGACTCTGTCACTCTGGGGCGTCTACCCATCTCACAGGTGATGAATCTCTATTTTCTAATTTTCAGAAGTCTCGTTTCTCATCCTTTGTTACTTTGGCTGATGGTAGAACATGTTCCATTATTGGCCAGGGAACAATTAAACTAACCCAATCCATTTCTTTATCCTCTGTGCAATTGGTTCCAAAATTTCCTTTTAATTTATTATCTGTCAGTAAACTGACTCAAGCACTCAATTGTTTTGTCACTTTTTATCCTTCGTTTTGTATCTTTCAGGACCTCAACACGAAGACGACGATTGGTGGGGGAACTAACAGAATTGGCCTATACTATTTGGATTGCACACCTTCCACTAGTGGTGTTGCTTTACATTCCCAGGTGTCTGTATACCAGTGGCATTATCGGTTAGGTCATCCCTCGTTGCGGTACTTGAAGTCTGCATTACCTTTCCTTGAGTCAGTGTCTACTTTAAATTGTGAGTCTTGTCAGTTGGGTAAGCACCATAGAGTGTCTTTCCCTCCTCATATTGTTAATCGTCGGTCTTCTTTATTTGAATTGGTGCATACGGACATTTGGGGTCCTACTCGTCAAACTAGTCAATCAAGTTTTTCTTATTTTGTTACCTTTGTTGATGACTATTCAAGGATGACTTGGTTGTTTTTTTTTTTTTTCCCTAAATAAAGGATGATGACTTGGTTGTTTTTAATGAAAGACCGTTCTGAACTTTTTCCCATATTTCAATTATTTTTAAAAGAAATTGAAGTTCAATTTGGTTGTGTTATACGAACTTTACAATCTGATAATGCTATGGAATATGTCAAAGGTGCTATTTCTACCTTTTGCGACTCTCGTGGCATCTTGCATCAAACTTCTTGGTCTTATACTCCCCAACAAAATGGTGTAGCCAAACGGAAAAATTGGCATTTAATTGAAATAGCTCGGACATTGATGATCCATATGCATCTTCCAAAGGCATTTTGGGGAGATGTTGTTTTAATTGCTTGTTATTTAATTAATCGTATGCCATCTTCTGTTCTTAATTGGAAATGTCCTTATTCCCTTGTTTTTCCTACCCGACCATTATTTGCATTACCGCCTCATGTTTTTGGGTGTGTGCGCTTTGCTCACATATTACGCCCTGGCACTGATAAATTGTCTCCTCGTGCCATTAAGTGTGTCTTTATTGGGTACTCTCGGACTCAAAAGGGTTATAAATGTTGGGATCCTAGCACTCATCGTGCTTTTGTGTGCATGGACGTTACCTTTTTTGAGGACACTCCTTATTTTTCTTCACATGGTTCGTCTTTAGATACCGAGTTCTGGCTTCCATTGCCTGTTGTGTCACACTCATCAGCCTATGTCCCACCACGACCACCTCCAGTAACACCGCCACCTCAAGTGCCACCACCACTTCAAGTGTACAGTCGACGATCACAGCTAGCCCCCCCCGCCCCCCCCCCCCCCAAATTGTCTACTTCTATTGAGGCTCCTGTTGCTGCTGATGATCTTCCTATTGCCTTACGCAAAGGTATTCGATCTTGTGTTACTGCACATCCTATTTCTAACTTTGTCTCATATACTCATGTTTCACCCACTTTCTCTTGTTTTTTATCCACACTGTTTACTATACTTGTTCCCAAGACTTTGCAGGATGCTCTTTCTCATCCTGGTTGGCAACAAGCCATGATCGATGAAATGGATACTCTTCATCATAATGGGACATGGAATCTTGTTCCCTTACCTCCTGGTTCCAAACCGGTTGGTTGTAAGTGGGTCTACACTGTCAAATATCTCCACGATGGTTCTATTGAGCGTTTGAAAGCTCATCTTGTTGCAAAGGGGTACACCCAAACTTATGGTGTTGATTATGATGAGACTTTTTCCCCTGTTGTAAAGATTTCTTCTATCCGGTCCTTATTTCCATTGCTGCAAATCGTAACTGGCCGTTGTTTCAATTAGATGTGAAAAATGCTTTCTTACCTGGCGACTTAGTTGAAGAAGTCTATATGGAGCAACCACCTGGGTTTGTT